AATTAGAAGAAAATACTAAGTTAAACTAGTTTCCTTATTCTTCCAACTTTTCCACTTTTATTTTTTATTTTTATTTTTATTTTTTTTTTCGGAACCGGGGATTGAACTCAGGCCCTTGTACTTGCCAGGGAAGCACTTATTCCACTGAGCCATCTCCCCAGCCCCACTTTTCCACTTTTAAACAGAGGTATATTATATATAGCATTTACCCAATGCATTTGAACATAATAAAGTCACTCCTTGACATGTAGAGGGTTATTTCCAGGACTTTCCAAGGCTACCAAAGTCTGCAGCTTCTCAGTCCATTACATAATATAACACAGTATTTGCATATAACCTATGAATATTCTCCTGTGTACTATAAATCATTTCTACATTAGTTACAATACCTAATACAAGGTAAATGCTATGTGAACACTTGCTAAGTGGTATTACTTAGGTAATAATGACAGGCATCAGTACAGATGCATTCCCCCTCAATATTTTCAGTCCACAGTTGGCTGAATCTGTGAATACAAAAATTCATGGAAGACCCACTGTCCCTTTCTCCACTCCCCCACCTTGGGCTATGTCTTGCATATGCTGGTCAAGCTTTCTGCCCCTGAGCTACATTCCCAGCCCCTATACACTTTTCTTTAAAGTATTCCATGGAACTAATTTTTCTAGCACACACCAAGAAGTTCACCACACTGTGCTTTGTTTCTATGTCCATTTCTTTTGCAGACTTAAAATCTCCTATAAGATAGATAAGCCTCTTCTTGCTGATTTTAGCACCATCAGTACCCGGCAAGTAACCAAATAATAAACCACCTCATGTCCTTGTTTCTTCCTCCCTGTACTTTGAGAAGCTTAGGTAAAATACTAGGACATGAGTTCCATCTAAACATTAGTATATATTGAAAGATAAGTGATCCTGTTTCCTAGGCTTATTATACATTATTCCTTTTCTCCTTACTCTAGGCCTGGTTATCAAATATATACTTCTAAAGAAGGGAATTCTGACAAACTAGAAATAGAGAGTTCCTGAGAAATTTCTAAGACTTTAGAGGTCCCAAAGCTCTTCCATTTAAAGTGAGGAATTCCACAGAGAGAAAAAGTAGAATACTGTTGCCAGTGGATAGGGGGAAGAAGACATGGGAATTACTGTTGAATGCTTACAGAGTTTCAGTTTGGGAAGATAAAAACATTCTGTAAATAAATGGTGAGAACAGTTGCACATCGATATAGATGTGCTCCATTCTCCTAAGCTGCATACTTAAACAAGGTTAAAATGGTGAAATTTATGTATTCTTTATCATAATAAAAGTTTTTCTTTTCTTTTTCAGTGCTGGGGACTGAAACCTGGATCTTGTGCATGCTAAGGAAAAAGGAAAAAAAGTGAAGAATTCATCTTCATCCATCCTCAGTCAGGGATCAAATTAAAGAGTTACAGGTCAGGTGTGGTGGCACACTCCTGAAATCCTAGCACTTGGGAGGCTAAGCCAAGAGGACTGCCATGCTTTTGAGGCCTGCCTAGGTTACACAGTGAGACCCTGTCTCAAAAAAATAAAAACAAAAGCAGTCACAAAACTATACCAGCATGCATACTTCTTTCCTTATCACCAGGCTAAGGGGCAGGTTTAGATAACACAGAAAACATACCACTGAAAGCATTTAGCTCCCTCTCTCTCTCTCTCTCTTTTTTTTTTTTTTTCTCTGTATCTGTCTCTCTGTCTTTCTGTCTCTGTCTGTTTTTTTGAGTGTATTATGTTCCCTAGGATACTAAAATAATAATAATAATTATTATTATTACTATTATTGTATTTAGGACAGGGTCTACAGGGTCTCACTACATAGGTTGGACTCGTAGTGATCCTCCTGTTTTCAGCCTCCCAAGTGCTGGGATTACAGGCTTGTGCCACCATGACCAGCCCATTCTCAATTGCCATCTCAGCATGTCCTGGATGCAGGGCTGGCATGGCAGGCCAGGGAATCGAACCCCTGGCCCTGGCCCCTGTGTATGCCTAAGCGGGCGCTTTAATCCGCTGAGCTATCTGGCCAGCCCTGCTAAAAATTATTAAATTTATATTTTACTACTAAAATAATTAATGCCTTAATGCTTCACCTTCTACTCTCTTACTCCTGTGCTTTGTCTAGAAAGCTGCTTCAGTTTTCCCAGGTCTATCGGACATACATCATTCTAACTGCCCCACAAATACACCAATTCCCTGAAGGTACACTTCTATCTCTCTTCTCTCCTATTCTTAATTGTAGACTCTCTACAACCGTATTGCTTAAAACAGTAGATTATGATTTCACCTTCTGGATTCACTTCTCTATTCGTAGGCCAAGTACTATAGTAATATCTTAACTGCTCACTTTGTCCTGTTTTCCAAATTTATTCTTTGCAAAAGTGATTTTCCCAGAATGTTATTTTTATCTTGACATTTTCTTTTTTGAAGGTCAATTAAAGATGATAAAAATTATGATAAGAGCAACAACAACAAAGCAGAAGCTGGACCTGCAATAAGGCCTATGCTAGGTCAAACACTACAGAGTTTTACATACATTACCATCTTACTTAAATCTCAAATAGACCCAGGATATGAGGTGGGATAGAAAAGTAATTATTTAAATTTTTAAAAAGTATTACCATACAAGACACATAGCTATTAATACCCTTCAAATTCTCCTCCTTTTGAACACACTTATCCTATTGCTCTTGCTACCTTCTGAAGCAGTCTGGAAGTCTTTCATTAGCATCTTTACTGGTGCTGTCCTGGCTAAATCAATGCTCAAATTCATTCAAAATGTTACCTTTCATGGTCACTTTGGATTTGGAGACAAGCCAGAAATTGCAAGGTACCAGATCTGGTGAATGAGGACACACCATAATGCTTTTATTTGATAGAAATTGTCATAAACACTTGATTAATTTGGGATGATCATAAAATATGGTGAATGTTTCCACTTAAAATTACAGGAAAAGACATTCCCACTAATCCCCCTTAAACTACCTTATCTTGAGCATATTTATCTTTCTTGGCAGTTACTTTTTTTAAATTTAAATATCCATCATATCTTTTGATGACCCCAGATATATACATCATTACATTTATTTTGCTGAAAACAAAACATAAATAACACTTCAGGGACTATTAGTTCAGGGTCTTTTCCCCACAAACGTCCCGTAGGACAGCACAACCCTCCTTAATGGCAAGGCATCATCACGTGGTGTGGATGGTCATCTGTGCTTTTTCTGGGTAAAGGGTTCATACTTCTTATTGGTATACTAAAAGACACATGCCTCAAACATTAACTACTGTTACAATGGCGAAAGATTTTCAGTACAATCAAGGTAAATTTCTTGAATCTGAAGTTCGCTGTCTTCCACAAAAGAGTCCCCACCTTCAATTCCTATCTTTCCTTTTGTAAGCTATGATCATTTTCACCTCCATTTGTTCTCTAACTGGAATGCATATCCAATTCCAGAGACTACAAATGCCTCCAAAAGTTTACCTCCCCGCTCCCGGGGAAGCCCCCCTTACTACTCCAGTCCACTGAGCCCCCCACCCCCAAGCAGACGCACACAGGCACACACATCTAACAGGCAGGTGCCTTCCACGTCTGCCCCATTTTCTCACCCGTGCGAGTTCGCACTCGGACGCGCAACTGCCTCACACACCCTGAGCGTTTAGATTCACATCAGACTCAACCACTGCTGCTCTCACGAAACTACTGGTCACATCCTGACACTCATACCTAAATTCGCCCTAAGCTCTTTCAACACTCTGCGCCGGGAACTCCGACTCAGTCGCCCTGGTTCACAGCACTGCGCTACTGTCACTGACTGACTGACTGACTGACTGACTGACTGACTGACTGACTGACTGTCTGTCTCTTTTACACACACACACACACACACACACACACACACACACACACACACACAGATACACACACACCCTGCACTCGCTGGTTCACAAACACTGCCTCACACATGACAACCCCCGGGCTCTGTGGACGCACCGACCAACCCACCACTGTCCCTTCCAGCGCCCCGCCTCACCCGGTGCTGGTACAGACAGACAATTCCGAACCCGCCGGTGCCAAGCCGCTCTCGCATCTCCCAGGGCCCGCCCGCGCCCGGCCGCAGCCCCGGGGGCCGCTCCATGGGGCGGGAGGGTAAGCAGCTCAGAGTTCCGCTGCAGCTCCAAGGCCGGTTCCGGGCAGCCGAGGCTCGCGCGCCTTTGTTCTCGCGAGACTTCTGTATCACTTCCGGGAGCTGCCGCAGGGAAAGCCTCGCCCCTATTCTTTCTACAGCGCTGCAGCCTCCTAGGCGGCGGTACTGAGAATCGAGTGTTACGTGCCCACACGGGCATTCCTCTGGTTGAGGACCTACGTGTTTTTCGAGACTTGAAAAAATATAAGATCTCTCTAAACTACCTGTGTGTGTGTGTGTGTGTGTGTGTGTGTGTGTGTGTGTGTGTGTGTGTGTATATATATATATATATATATTTTTTTTTTTTTTTTTGGTGGCTGGCTCAGACTGCCCTGGGGGCAGGGCTGGCGCGGCATGTGGTGCCTACAGCTGCCTAAGCTTGCCCAAGCGGGCTCTTTAGATCACTAAGCTATCTCGCTGGCCCCTCTAAACTAACTTTAAATCATCGGTCTCTTAAGTATGCTTTCCTAACCTCCACCTTGTGTCATTCCTGTCTGCATTTTCCTTTTGAAAGAAAAACCCATGCTGTATATCCTCCAGCTGCACCACCAGCTGAGCTGACACTGACAAAGCAAGGCATTTGAAAAGAAACCTGCGCTAACAGGCCTATTGATGCATTAGCTTTCGGAGTTAATTATGACTTTCTATAACATCCGTTCCCAGGATCTCCCCAATAATCACAAACGACTCAAGGATGACGTAAGGGATGTTCTTTCGGATTTGGGAAGCTTCCCTAAACGTTGCAGAGCCAGCTGTCAGCCTTCAGTTACAGTTTGCTAGTGGTGGTTCTTGGTTTATGGGCGTTGTTTCTGAGACTTGCTGCAGGGGAAGGCAGAGATGCTGCTGGTGCAACCAGACGTGCGGAGTGGAAGACAGCGTAGAACCAGCTTCTGGTTTTCCACTTGACTCAGTCATCTGCTTCACGGAACCCACAGGACTTAATAGGTGTAACAGTCAACATGGAATCAAATTCTCATTTTAAAAAAAAGTGTGGGTGCAACTAGAATGTTGAGTGCTGTATATAGCACATAGCAGATCCATGTTCTGAACCATTGATACTGCTGTGTGGAGGATGCTGGTTTCGATTTGAGTGGTTTACAAGGAACTGGAGTATCAGACTTGGATGTAGTGAAGCCTCCGAGAACAATCCTGGATAGCTGGACAGACAGTATAGAAGACTGGTGCATAGTGTCATGAAAATATGAAGCCCTCTAGTTTGCTACAATGGAGCTTCAATCTTAATTCTTACCCAGGAGAGATTGAGGGATGCTGAGCATCCCAGTGAGAATACTGTTGATTGGGTTGTCTTTGCAGGAATCAGGTCAGTTTTCATAGTTTATTTTTTAAAAATTCTCATTCTTAGCTCAAAAAAAAAAAAATCATACACTGGCTGACTCCAGCCTCCACAATCTGTAGGTTTGCACACCTGTTTGTCATGCATAAAACAGGAGATACCTCAGAGAGATTTTATGAGGATTAAGTGAAACAGTGTCTAGGCTATAAATGCTCACTATACAGAAACATTTTTTTCACTCCCAACATACATTTTCCTGTAAGTGCTCTATTCATTTCTAAGCACTCCTTAAATGTTGGACATCTTTAGGTCTCTATTTACCCTATCTTAATTTTACCAAACATGTACATACCTTTACTTCTACATTATATGGGAAACTATTTTTCAAATGAACATAGGTACAAGCCACCCAGAATTAAAATAATTTTTAGAATACAGTAACCACTGATATACTACTTATTTTTAGAACAGATGGCAACTGTATATACTTACAAATACCAGTATATCTGAGACACCAAAGATACCTTCTGTGATGCTGCTACTTAAGAAATGTAAAAAGGTAACACTTAGCATCTGGATGCTAAATAAATGGAGGGATAAATAGGGGAGTCTAACTTTTAGGAATTCAAGTTTATTCAAAATTTTGGCATATACAGTCTTATAGTCTACTATCTTTACTTCAGATCAACTTAAGACTGATGGGTTTGGAGCTTGCACTTCTGAATTCCCCAGTGTTTCTGCACTTTAGATAAAAATAGGCTCCCCTTCAGAGTCAGCTTTATCTTTATAAGGTCTGCTATACCATTTTCTCCTGGAATACATGGGACATTGAGGAATAGTGTACTTCTTTAGTCCATAAAGGTCCTTAATTATGGTATAAAATGAATGTTCTTATCATCATCAAAATATTTTCTATTAAATCAAGTACAGATAGAGCAATGGGCCAGCAAAGTATAACCTTTCATTTTAATAATCTGATTGGCACTGTCAGTCACTTCTTTGGGTATTTTCCCACTGCTCAGGATCTTTACTGGTTCCTGTAGTTGAGTTTGGATCCTTTAGAGGGATGTCAGATATGTAAACTACACCATGCACAATATTCCAGTTTCCATGCTTTCCAAGGACACATTTGTGAGTTTCAGAGTGGATGCCTACCTTTTGCCCAATTAAGTAGAAATGAGCCAGATTACACCATTTCCAATAAGTTTTTTGGGAATGCACTCAGTTTCCAGGGCATATAAGCTATCTACTGAATTGAAAACAATAACCAAGTTTGCAGTCAGGGCTGCACTGGATGATAGCAGCAATCATTAATTTAAAGATGGCTACATTACACTGGACTAACTTGAGGCCTGATTCTTTCTCCCCTGGCATGCACCGACTGTGATATCACTAGGCCAGAGCTTACAGTGACACGTTAATCACTGTAGCAAACATATTTGACATTTTGACCAAAGGGCCACCATGTTGAAGATTATCTACCTCACCTTTCAGTTTGTTTTCATGGATTTCACTCGGGCAAGTTGACCAGCTAAGCCTTTTAATAAAATGGTAACAAAACAGGGCATACTTGATGACCCATTTCTACAATCGAGACCTTACTGTGACAAATAGGCTTTTCTGAAGTGAAATTTTCATAAGCTCATACTTTACAGTGGCTATCTTGGACACAGGTGTGTGGAGTCAGGAGCTCTACAAAGGGACTTGCACAGCTGATACAGCGATGATGCCATCCTCAGGTCTCAGAAGCGCGATCCTGGACATTTATTCAATGGACAGCCCACCAAACTTCTGCAGCCCAGCTTGTAGCTGCTCACTCAAAAGGCAAAGAAAGAGACTGGAGGAAAAGTAGGAAACCCACAGGCAAGATCACTGAGCACAAAAGAATCACCCTATCTTATTTTAATTTCGTTTATGGCCTATATTTGGATGATCCCTGAAGCCCTATCACAACACAGGTCTCCATGAGTTTGGGACCAACAGTACACGGGACACATCTGTTAGACATCTAAAACAATTTATTAAAAGCAGAAGAAGTCATCTTTTCTTTTAAATTTTCATTCATCAAGCTCAGAAAAATACCTGGTACATAAGTATCTGAAGGACTGGATGGGCTCTTATATAAGATGATGCTGTAAGGGAAAAAGAGTAAATGCCGCTGGTCCCTTCTCTATCCTGGTTACCCGGAGAAGGCTCCAGCCTTCCTGTTTCCCACAATACTTCATTTCAGTGGTCACAAGCAACATGAACACAGGAGACTTCTCAACTTTTAAAAACAATTTGGAGCCATCTCTGGTGGCTCACACCTGTACTCTCAGTACTCAGGAGGCTGAGGCAGGAAGACCAGTTCAAGGCCAGCCAGTTTTACATAATGAATTCAAGGACAACCTATATTACATAGTGAGACTCTGTCTCAAAAGACCAAAAAAAAGGGAAAAATTTAGATTTCAACAGCTTAAGTTTTTGAAAATGTAGATAGACATAAGCTGTTCTTAGTGCTGAATGACAGACATGCTTTTAGCATAGAATTTTTATCCTAGAATGACTTTCCTAAAAAAAAAAAAAAAAAAAAAATTCAATCCTAGGCCTCTTGCTGCAGGTAGGTTCCATGGGAATGCATGAAAAAGAGGCAGTGAACGGTCCCCAAGAGAGACTGCAATTCCATTAAAAGCACGGAGGAACAATTTCTTTCAAAGTTCACAAAGTGTTCTTCCCTTTTAGTCATCTAGAGTGAAGTCAAAGGGCTCAAAATCCTTCCGAAAGCGGTGAGCCAGGGTCTCCTCTTCTTCTTTGCTGATCCGACACTGCCTCCAGTCAGACTTCTCAGGAATATTAAGAATTGCTTCACTGGCCAGCACCTCCCTGCAGAAAAAGCACAAAGTATAAACGGGGAGTTTATACTTTCTCTTGTCCCCTTCCAACCAGAAAATGTCACCCAAAGCAAGTGTGCAGACTTTTATCACTGCTTAAACTGTTCTCCTGCCCTATGAAAATCATACTCACGTTGAATGACCAGCTCAGATCCTGCCTCTTTTCTGACTCTAAACTTTATCCTCCCTCTTAACCTGAAAGTACGTTACTGTTACAGTATGTAGAGAGGCAGCATGGCATACTATAAGAAGGACAGGTTCTGGTGTCATATCAAATGACTGGATTCCATTCCTAGTTCTGTCACTTGCTGTGACTTGAACAGATTACCTCATCACTGAGTCTTGGATACCTTACCTATGACACTCGAAGAAGCCCTTACCTTGTGTAGGTTTGTGAAGCAGAGAGATAACACGAAGCACTGTACTAGCTGTGAATTACATCTTGCCTTAAACTGTAGTTCTGTCATCTCAATTAGACCATGAGTTTGCTGAGAGCAGACCGGGGTATCATACCTATTCTGACTTAAAAAATTTTCTGACTTTCTTTCTGGCACACCAACACAAGCTTAATGTGAAGAAAACGACTTATCTTGACTCTCATAACAAAATAACGTATAGATATTTGCTTCTAATTTCTTTTGTTTTACATTCATATTAATTTTTTACTTATTTTTGTATACTAGAAATAAGCCTATGCATTTTTGGGTCCATTTTCTACTTTGAAACTATAATAAACAGAATTGGAAATAAATCATCTGAGTCCTCTAAAAGGCAGAGCAGACCTAAACTCAAGTATTGGCTCTGGGGGCATATGTTGAGCCTATTTTGTTAGATATAAAATGAA